TCAAACTTGAAAGGTAAATCGAGATTTTGTTTTACTTTATTTTCAGTCAGAAGTTGCATTTTTTTTTTTGTAGTATGCATGGACTTATATTACTTTTTGTGTTGCTCAGTCTTTATTTTTCTATGTTTTGTTTTTTGTACTGTTGTTTGTCTGTTTGTCTTTTTCTTTTTTAGCCATGGCGTTCGACTTATGAATTGTGAATATCCCTTTGGTATCTTTCACCTCTCTTTTGCATACAAAGCGAATATACTAATTTCACATTTCGTCATGTCGGGCCTTTTATAATATAGAATACTATACAGTATGGATTTTGCTCATTGTTGAAGACCATACAGTGACCTATAATTTTTCTGACTTCCACTTCATTTAGACTCTGGTTGAATGTTGCCTTATTTGGCACATCTCCTTATTTTTCAAACACGTGTTCATTCCTAAATTTCACGCTCAGGTGATCAGGTTAACTTTTCAGAATGAGGTCTGTTCTTCAGTGTAGAGAAAATAATACATAACAAGAAATATCAAAGATTTGTAAAATGATAAAAGAAGATCACATTTGACGAGACTTCTGATTTGGTCCAGGAATTTTAAAACTTTTTTGCAATTATAAGAATAATATCAAAAGATAATAGAATAAAATGCTTCGCCGAGCGCAGCCTGATACGACCGCAGAGGTCTAACCCTGAACAGTTGGGGCAAGTTTGGACACACTGATATTCAAGCTTGATACTGTCTGAATTTGGATTGTGATAAAATTTTTGACATAATATAGGTTTCTGACACAAAATAATAAATGTGGTCAAAGATCTTAAAAATTTGAAATGGAACAATTAATTTACCTAGTATGGTCTGATATCCAATATCTAACAACATGGTTAGATTCAGCATATAAAAAAATTCGTAAGGGTTCCACGGAACCCAGTGTCTCGCCTACTTTTGCTGTTAATCGCAGGCTCAACAAAGATGAGATGAGGAAAAAATTTAATAAAAATATTCCTCTCGATATAATTTTTTTATTGTAAGAAGCTTCTGTCCAGGTTTGGTAAAAATCCAGGATAGTTTATGAATCTAATAAACGTTTTAAAAAATTTAACTGCAGACTGTATGTAATGTTAACTGGCAATCTAATTAAAATATCGATCTCGGATTTCGTTATACTACTTTATACTACATATCTCGGATTTCGTTATGCTACGTTATACTACATATTATGTAGTATAACGTATATTTTAATTAGATTGGTTAACTGGAAGAAAAACTAAGTCCATTTATAAGTAAAATATGGATAAACAAGTACAAAATTTTAATAAAAATTTCCTTCTAGATACTAGCTTTTGATCATAAACAAAATTCTGTCCATGTTTGGTACAAATCCAGGATAGTTTAAGAAAGTTATTAAAATTTTTAAAACTTTAACCACAGAGTGAATGTAATGTTTCCTGGTTGAAAAACTAAGTCCATTTATAAGTAAAATACGGAAAAACAGGATTTTTTTTATTATATTTACTTCTGGATACTATCTTATGATCATAAACAAGCTTCTGTCCAAGTTTGGTAGAAATCCAGGACAGTTTGAGAAAGTTATTAACATTTTAAAAACTTTAACCACAGAATGAATGTAATGTTTCCTGGCAGAAAAAACTGAGTCCATATATAAGTAAAATACGGAAAAACAGGATTTTTTTTTTTACAAAATTTACTTCTGGATACTATCTTATGATCATAAACAAGCTTCTGTCCAAGTTTGGTAGAAATCCAGGATAGTTTAAGAAAGTTATTAAAATTTCAAAAACTTTAACCACAGAGTGAATATTTGTGGACGCCGCCGAGGACGACGACGCCGACGGAATGTAGGATCGCTATGTCTCGCTTTTTCGACAAGAGTCGAAGGCTCGACAAAAACACCAAAAATTTAATTTTATTTGAAATCAAACAAAGTTTAATTTTGGACCCTTTAAACCTTAATATGGACTAATTTGAAAACAGGGCCCAGAATAAAAAATCTAAAAGATTCAGCATACGGTATCATAGAGCCGCAATAATTCAGTTTTTGATGAAATCAAACAAAGTTTAATTTTGGACCCTTTGGACCTCAATGTAGACCAAATTAAAAATGGGGCCCACTATCCAAAAATAGTATTACAAGGTTAGAACTCCCCAAAATTAAAGACTTTAAATCAATCCCATTGAAATTGGTTAAAAGATTTGTATTTATTTTCAATTGAAGATTTCTAGCTATTGCGCAATACTGTGCTATTAATCTTTTATATATAATAATTTACACACCCTGTTTGGTGTGTATCTCCTGCCATATCAGTAGTTGTTGCTTTTATATGTAAATCAGAAATAATCAATGTAAAAATGGAAAATTTTTGGGAAAAAAACCCAAAAAATTATTAAAAAATAAATGGAGAATGTGTCCCCATGGACACAGATGATGCCCCCGCTTGCATACAACATAATAAAGGAACATAACTCAAGAACAATAAAAGTGAGGCTACCCATATTTGTACTTGATCTGAGTTTTGTGGTAATAAGTATTGTGTAAAGGTTTCATAATGTTTGGTTGGGGCAAACTTAAGTTACAGAACGGAAACTAAAACTTTGCAATTTTTCGATTTATAAAGGGGCATAACTCGATAATGATTAAAGTGACGCCACCAAAATTCAACTTGATCTGTTTTTTGTGGTAAAAAGCATTGTGTATAAGTTTCATAACATTTGGTTGAGGCAACTGAAGTTAGAGAACGGTAACTAAAAATTTTGCATTTTTTTCCATTTATAAAGGGGCATAACTCTAGAACGGTTAAAGTGACGCCACTAAAATTCAAACTTGATCTGTGTTTTGTGGTAATAAGCATTGTGTATAAGTTTCATAACATTTGGTTGAGGCAAACTTAAGTTAGAGAACGGAAAACTAAAAAAGTTGTATTTTTTCCATTGATAAAGGGGCATAACTCTAGAACGGTTAGAGTGACGCTACCAAAATTCAAATTTGATCTGTGTTTTGTGGTTATAAGCATTGTGTATAAGTTTCATAACATTTGGTTGAGGCAAACTTTAGTTAGAGAAAGGAAAATTAAAAATTTTGTAATTTTTCCATTTATAAAGGGGCATAACTCTAGAACAGTTAGAGTGACGCTACCAAAATTCAAATTTGATCTGTATTTTGTGGTAACAAGCATTGTGTAAAAGTTTCATAACATTTGGTTGAGGCAAACTCAAGTTAGAAAACGGATACCAATTTTGGGACGTACGTTAGTACAGACGGACAAGGGTAAAACTAAATGCCCCCTCCGCTACGGCGGAGGCATAAAAAATCCCCCCCCCCCTCAAAATTTTTTTTTTGAAATTTTGAAGATTAATTTCTTTTCAGGAAAAATGAACAATTTCAGAGAGTTCCATAAACTTTAACACAATTTATTGTCTGGAAACTAGAAAAATGCTTGATTTTGGCCCCTTATTTGTCTCTAATTTCTAAACGCTTGGGGCAATTACCCCCAAACTCAATCCCAGCCTTCCCTTTGTGGTATGGAACCTTGTAGTACAATTTTAGAGAGATCCATACACTCAAACACAAGTTATTGTCTGGAAACTAGAAAAATGCTTCTTTTTTGCCCCTTATTCCTGAACGTTTGGGGCAATTACCCCAAACTCAATCCCAGCCTTCCCTTTGTGATATGGAACCTTGTGGTACAATTTCAGAGAGGTCCATACTCTTACACACAAGTTATTGTCCGGAAACTACAAAAATGCCTGTTTTTAGCCCCAAGTTCCTACACTGTTGGTACCATAACCCCCAAAATCAGTCCCAACCTTCCTTATGTGTTATTGAACCTTCTGGTTAAATTTCATAGAGATCAATTCACTTAAACTAAAGTTATTGTCCGGAAACCAAACGACGACGACATGATAGCATTATACGAACGCAATTTTTTTGCGGTCGTATAAAAACGTAAGCTAACAAGCATTGTATATATAGTAAAAGCTCTTTAAGGGGCATTAGCTGTCAAATTCATGTCCACCGATTCGACTCAAAGTCTTAAATAAACAATTTCCGATGCATGAACACGATAATATGTATCAGAATTTCGTGTATAATTTAGTCTAGACGCCATCTAATTAACCATCGAGGTGACTTCCGAAGACTGCCGACGGTCATTTAACCCGATATAAACATAAATATAGATATAAATAGAAAGCGAACTCGTGCAATTGGATTTTTCTAGGTCGGTTTGATTTCATATTATAGGCCAAACACATATGTTAATCATTGTTTTTACCTGTATAAGAATGAGTTTTTGTGGATCAAATCAGTCAACCAAATGGTTTACCATTGTTTCACTTTCAATGTTGACATTCTTTTCCTTTTAATACCTGAACAGGCCTAGTTCATGCGTAACCATCTCTAGCTAAGGGATTATACTAAAGTTACCATAAATACGGATTCAATGAGGTCGAATTATTTACTTGCAAGTGAATAATTCATCAGCGATTTTTCTTAGCTTATTTTGACAAAACTGAACCAAACTGGCTGCTAAAGGCGAATTATTATTTTACTATTTCACTTTCATTAATGACTGAACAAACAAAAATCATATCTTTATTTTTTTTATACCTAGTAGCTAATGCCCCTTTAACTCTTTAAAATCACTTCAAAATCAGTCCCAGCCTTCCCTTTGTGGTATGGAACCTTGTAGTACAATTTTAGAGAGACAACAAAACCCAAACAAAAGGAGAGCAATGCCAAATTGAACCAATTACTGGAAGCAAGCAAGTTGATATTACAATTATGCTGTTCTATTCTCTAGTATCGAAAGCCATACTTCGGAGGAGATTTCATACACATCAAAATCATGAATAAACCATTTATGATCGATTCTCAACAATGTAAAATTGCGAATAATTTAAAACAGAAAGCTGATATCTCACATATTATCAGAAGGCCTTGACGTCATTTCAAGTTCATTTAAGTTTGTTCAATAAAAAATAAATAAATAACATTTAATAATTTTACATATTTTAATTGTGATTTATATTAATTATCATTACTGTTTTGTAGCAGATGCATGTTTATACTGTAAACTTTTTAGTGAACGAAACAATGTTTTTCGTGATATCTACGGTTTTTTGTTGAATTTGTAATAAAGAAGAGAGAAGAGGTCGACAGTCCTTCGCGTCACTGGAATCTGTTAAAATACTAAATATCCTATCGGCCAAATAACCAAGGATATCAGCATTTCCTCGAAGCTGTGAACATTTAATACCGGATTTCATAAGTTTATCAATAAAAACGTAGCAATATTCTGCCATGTGATGAAGCTCAATGTAAACTGATACCATATTGTTCAGTAATTCCTTAATCTTTTCTTCCACATCAGAACAAATAACATTATCGTCTGCGCCATCGAACATTTGAAAATAAAGTGGTCCTTTTCTTTTGGCAATGTTTTTACATTTAAATTGGATCTGACGAGAGCCTGTTCTCAGTTTGCTTATTTTTAGTGGATGACGACCCTTTCGATGGTTAACGGCTTTCTTGTAATCTCCACTTCTATTTCTATTTGATACATTAGTATAACCTTCCACTTCGGTAACCTGCAGAGTAGTTGTTCCTTTCATGTCTCCATGTTTATACTGATTGCATTTTTCACTCGGTATGTGGTCTGGATACGTGCCTAAACATCCCCAGCAGAAATTGGCTCCGCATGCACAACTCATATAGAAACAGCCACCCAGTTTCTCAACGAACCTTTTACACTTCGGACATGATTTCCCACGGACCTTTACAAATGATTGTGATATGGTAATGTCGTCACCAAGCTGTTTTAATTTTTTCCAGTAGGCTGGTGCTTTATCACATGGTACAGGCCAGTGTGGTGGTTGTAAGCATTGGAAGCAAATATGTGCTCCACACTTACAAGCAACATCCTTCGCTTTTTCAGGATTAGTTACTGTGATTACCCTACAACAGGTTGGATTTGGGCACCATTTAGCATCAGAAGCCTGCAACTTAAGGTCATGGTCACGTCGTTTTATACCAAGTACTTCGAATACGTTTATAAATGTCAAAAGTACAGCGTCAGCGACGGTTTCTTTGCATCCATGTTCTGGACAAGTTATGTTCACAGAGCCCATATTCATACGCGATCTGCAGTGATCTATCCAACATTCATCACAGAACCAATGGCAACATGATGAAAGAGCTGTTCCAGGTTTTCCGCCTTCAGCTATAAAATCAAAGCAAATTCCACAATATTCTGACGAAATACATTCGAAATCGAGTTCAACAACTGTTTCATTGTCACTCAACCTGTTGTTGAAAATATCTTTAAATAGCATTTTGCGCGTAACTAAAGATACGTCTTTCTTAATCTTCTGACACTTGTTCAAATTCTCAAATTTCATGGACGTGCTTTCTTTCGGGGGTAGTTTTTCATTTTCTATAAATCCGTCGGTTGACATCATATCTAGGAATGTCACAGCTCTGTGTAAAATATCTTCTACGCATCCGTTATAATAGTCAAACATTGTCAGAATTCTGAATTTTTCTGTGTTTGTTCCAATATTAAGACATACTCTAAATACGCTGTGTGTCTCTGTATTGTTAACATCGTATTCATCATATGTAAATACAACGCAGGAGGTCAGATCCCAATTTTTTAATATTTCTGTTTTCAAACATCCGGAGTTTTTCAACCGCATTTTCATTCTGTCGCTGACATCGATTAGAAACTTTCGAGGTAAACAGGGACATTCCACATAACTTTTGTCATATCGTTCTTTCAGTAATGCACACTGTACCTCACTTTTTGGAAGTAAGACAAAAACAGGCTCCATTATTTTTCTATCCTCATTTAAAGCCACACTTGTAGGTTCTTCAATTTGTGGGGTTTCCTCTGCCATAATCTGTGGTTCATATATTTTTCTGTCTTTACATTCGAAAATCTGCTTTGGAATATAGTTTATGTTGTTTCTTTGGCACAAACTTTGCATTAAAGCAGCATGTATCATGATGTCTTCTAATAGTTCTGTGTTTGTTACGTCTTCTTTATTAGCGTTTTCGTACAGGTACGAGGAAGATTCATAGTCCAACTCCGTTTCCGTTTCGGATTCGTCATCAGAGATATCTTCAAATGATTCGCAATATTCGTCATAGTATTTACCAATACTGAGTTTCTCCCTTTGTCTCCTGCCCTTTGTCGTTCGGCCACGCCCATTTTCAGGTTTATCAATGTAATGCCCGACATATTTTGGATTGTGAAGAACTGAACATGTTGATGGACTAGGGTAAACGACTTCAATCTGAAGGATAGGTTGTGTGCCTGTTTTGTCATCTAGTCTGCTTTGAACTACGACTGATTCTCCGTTGAAATAGGTTTTCTTTTTACTTTCTATTTTCTTTGTATTTCCTTTTGACGAATAGTACCCAACAGTGTGACTTTTCTTTGCAATGTCATGGGAGACAATTAACTTGACGTTTGATTTCAAGTCCTTGTAGCTTCCTGTCAAAATAGAATTTTTAAGCATGTCCGGAAGTTCCCATCTCCCCTTTTTATTGAGCGAATACACCACATCATCTCTATCCATATTTAGATCTTCCAAAATGGTATCTTTCATTACTGTTGGACTCCATGACTTTCTTAGAAGACAAGATCTCCTACTGTATGTACGATTGAACCTACAATGTAAAACCAACATTATCATTAATCGAAATTTCAAATTATTTCATTGAAGCAAGCCTGAATTTCCGACCGTAACTCTAGCTTCAGAATTATTATAAACATTTCGAAACCTTAATTCGGCATAACACCTCTAGTTTTAATAATACACCAGAGATTTTATCTGTAATGGTGTAAGACAAGTCTGAGGACAATCAATTGTTTGCCTGGTTAACGAAAGGTTTGGAAATATGTTATTATAAGTTGACAAAATTCTCTCGATGATAATGATATTTATACCAAAATTCAAAATAGCAGCAAATATATATATATATATATATATATACATTAAGATAACAATTAGAATAAAATGCTCCGCAGGGCGCAGCTTGATACGACCGCAGAGGTCGAACCCTGAACAGTTGGGGCAAGTATGGACACAACATTCAAGCTTGATACAGCTCTGAATTTGGATTGTGATTAAATAGTTGACACAGCATAGGCTTCTGACACAGAATGAATGTGGTCTAAGAACTTAAAAATTTTTAAATTGGACATTCACCTATTATGGTCCAATATCCAAAATCTAAATACATGGTTAGATTCAGCATATCAAAGAACCCCAAGAATTCAATTTTTGATGAAATCAAACAAAGTTTAATTTTGGACCCTTTTGATCTCAATGTGGACAAAGTTGATAACGGGGCCCAAAAATCAAAAATCTAAATACATGGTTAGATTCAGCATATCAAAGAACCCAATATATTCAAATTTTGGACCCCGATTTGGACCAACTTGAAAACTGGGCCCATAATCAAAAATCTAAATACATGTTTAGATTCAGCATATCAAAGAACCCTAAAAATTCAATTTTTGTTAAAATCAAACTAAGTTTAATTTTGGACCCTTTGGACCTTTATGTAGACCAATTTGAAAACGGAACCAACAATTAAGAATCTAAATACACGGTTAGATTCGGCATATCAAAGAACCCCAATAATTCAATTTTTGATGAAATCAAACAAAGTTAAATTTTGGACCCTTTGGACCTCAATGTGGACCAATTTAAAAACGGGGCCCAAAATCCAAAAACTTAATACACAGTTAGATTCAGCATATTAAAGAACCCCAAGAATTCAAGAATAAAACCCCATTGAAATTGATCAAGAAATAAGCAATTTATACGAAGTATCTTCTTTTGCACAATACTGTGCAATTGAATATTTCTTGCTATTGCGCAATACTGTACAATTGACAATTTCTTGCTATTGCCCAATATTGTGCTATTGGATATTTCTTGCTATTGCGCAATACTGTGCAATTGAAGATTTCTTGCTATTGCACAATACTGTGCAATTGAAGATTTCTTGCTATTGTGCAATACTGTGCAATTGAAAATTTCTTGCTATTGCACAATACTTATTATATAATAATTTACACATCCTGTTTGGTGTGTATCTCCTACCATATCATTATTATTTGCTTTTAAATATAAATCAGAAATAACCAACTTAAAATGGAAAATTTTAAAAGAAAAAAAAAAAGGAAAAAAAGAAAAAAAAAGAAAAAAAAAAAATCCCCCCCCCCCAAATTTTTTCAACCCCCTTATGATTCATCACCCCCAAACTCAATCCCAGCCTTCCCTTTGTGGTATGGTACCTTGCAGTACAATTTCAGAGAGATCCATACACTTGAATACAAATTATTGTCTGGAAACTAGAAAAATGCTTATTTTTGGCCCCTTTTTGGCCCCCAATTCCTAATCGTTTCGGGCAATTACCCCCAAACTCAATTCCAGCTTTCCCTTTGTGATATGGAACCTTGTAGTACAATTTCAGAAATATCCAAACACTTACACACAAGTTATTGTCATGAAACTAGAAAAATGCTTGTTTTTGCCCCTTTTTCCCAGCAGGCACACAACGTTTATTCAACGTTGAAACAAGGTTGTTTCTCAACGTTGAAACAATGTCAAATTTATGTTTGATTTTGAAAATTGGAATTAACGTTGTCATTTCAACGTTGAAGTTTCAACATCCATTCAACGTTGACTCAAGGTTGAACAGGGGTTGAAAGTAGGTTGATAATTATAAACCTGCATACATAATTTTTTACCTGCTTTCCAAATTTGTGTTGCTTTTATTGGTGATAGACAGGCTATACAAGTTTTTAATGTCATTTGATCCAGATAAATACAATTAAGCTCCATCATTTCAGCAATTTCTATTTGCAGTTATTTGTGTTCTCATAAGCTCAATTGATAGATTACACTGGTCACATGAATAATTCGCTCTTCAGGAAGTACTTTTACATAAAACCGCATAATACATAATGAATCACTTTAATAAAGGCAATATATAGTCTCCTAAAATTTTCTTGATTCAAATGAAAGTATAAGTAAACAGAAATAAGGTCTCAATTAGTCCTAAAATGTCCTCATCTAACTCGTCAGACAATCATTAAACAAGAGAGTTCTGTTCTAACACCGAAAATAAGTGTAGATTATAAAAAGATTTTTTGACCCCTTTTTTGCCCCTAATTCCTAAAATGTTGAGGCAATTACCCCCAAAATCAATTACAGCCTTCCCTTTGTGATATGGAACCTTGTGGTACAATGTCAGAGAGATCCATACACTTACACACAAGTAATTGTCTGGAAGTTACAAAAATGCTTATTTTTGGCCCCTTTTTGGCCCCTAATTCCTTAACTGTTGGTACCATAACCCCCAAAATCAATCCCAACCTTCCTTTCGTGGTATTGAACCTTATGGTAAAATTTCATGGAGATCTATTCACTTAAACTTAAGTTAGAGTGCGAAAACCAATGTGTCTTCGGACGACGCCGGACGACGCCAGACGACGACGACGACGACGACGACGCCAACGTCATACCAATATACGACCAAAATTTTTTTAATTTTTGCGGTCGTATAAAAACAACACAATAAATAACTTTATAATATGGATAACAAATATTCTAGAAAGACAGAGTTGGATACGAGTTTAACCGAGATCACTATTTTCGTCTCAACCGAATAAAAGATGTTCTATTGATATTCTTATTTGGTCTTTTTGACATGATATATCCAGGAGCATATTATTTTTATTAACCGATTTTATTGATTTATTTTATATATGATTGTTTCATCTAATTCAATTTAACTTCTCAAATTTTGTCGTAAATTGTTTTCATAACCCAATGAAATAACATGAAAATCAGATTTAATGTTTCATTGACTTACCTTGAATTGGATGCTCTGAGGGTGTTCCCGGAGTGGACACCCCTTTTGGAAATTTTCTGCACCATTGTCTTGTGGTTCAACACTTTTTCTGTTCTAATCTGTTGTTATGAAAAGTAGTTGGTAGTTATCTATTTATACTGTCGTTATATTTCAAGCTTGTGGTGCAATGTTTAATTCAGTCTTTTGATAGGACAAAATTTACGTAAATACCTTAAAATAGAACTTTGCTATAAATAGGTACGTACTCTGATTTCTCCTTCGATCTGAGCTAAACATACGATGAGTTCCGATGATAGTATTATGATATCGCTTAAGACCATTCAAAACAGAATAAAAAGAACAAAATATTGATTTTAACTCGTTATTCACAACCGACTGTGATAATGTACTACACACACTATTACATCGAGTATCTATCAGTTACTTTCATACTGGAAAATAGATCGTCATACATATTATACATCTTGAGAAGACAGGCCCTCGTCTCAGATTTGTCACAAAGTTTTACCAATACATGTATATACCTATATAAAAATCTGAGACAAGTGCCTGTGCTGGTGAAGCGATTAAAAAAAATGAATTTAAAAGGGGATGATAAAAAATTCTGGTTTAACCCAAACATATTTGCATGTGCCTGTCTCAAGTCAAGACTGCATGTTGCCCTCTAAAATGTCTTTTAATTCTTTATGACGTTGGGTTACAGACTCATTGACATATATACCCCACATTTATTCGTATTATCTAAGAGAATCATTTAATCATCACACAACATGGATGTTTATAATCAAACCAACGATAATAGAAAAAAAACCTTAATGGCTTTCCGAAGAAACTTTGGGGTTTACTTTATAAATTCATCAAAAACGAATATTGTCATATATTCTAGGCATATTTATAGGTTTCATAACGAGTGAGAATTGGATATCGCTTGATATCAGCTCGAGTTATTTAATTTCAATATAAAAATAAACAAGCCTTTGGCGAGTTTATTATTATACTTATAAAATTAAATGACGAGAGTTGATATCAAGCGATATCCAATTTATCACGAGTTGTTAAACCTATTTCTCCAAAAACACTCTATATAAAAAATCGTTGATCTTACCAGTATGACTTCACATGCCCTGTTCCGGCGTCAATCTTATAATCAAACTTAGCTACTAGAAAATTGAGTAAAAAACTGTATAGATTATCGTTGGTCATCTCAATGAGATTGATTTTCTCGCTTGAGCCGGTACGGCGAAAGTGAGAAAAGCAATCGAGTTGAGATGACCAATGATAATCTAATTTATAATTATCGATGCTACAATCTCATCGAAGGGCGTTGTTTATACACTGACAACGTATCAAGCTTGACCCAACACAATTTATTATTCCGTTGTATTTACCTTTTTATTTACCACTTGCATCTATGCACTTTCTTTCTATCTACAGCATTTTGAAATGACTGACAAGTCAGCTCTAACCTTGCTTGATAGTATGGATATAGCAGAAAATGTGGAAATCGTTGAAAGTAATAAAAATAACGAAGCGAACAACATTATGGACGAAATATGCTCCAATGTAAACATTTCACTGAGAAACAGCGGGGTTGCTGCAAAAGACGAATCAACCATAAAAGGAATACCTAAAGAATATGAAAGAGTAAAACCAGATCCTCGAGTCATGAGGGTAAGTCATTAATAATGGAAACAAAATATTCAAAGATTTTACTGCACTGGAAGTGGATAATAAGTCGAACTGTTGTAAGCAACGTCAGCGGATTGATTGATTGTTGTTTGCTTTAGTCCAGTGGCAAATATTTCATGCATCTTCAGGACGAACGTCAATGGAGAAATTTCAACAGATGTTAAGTTTAATTTTCGAAATAGTTCTTATCAATTACTTTTTGATATTATTTCACTACATAGCATCTTTGTTTTCTGTGTCCTTCGCTGCCGACACGTTATTTTTATACTGAGATTGACTTCTCTCGAATGTAGTTTTTTGACTTCCTTATATTATATGTTTAATAACAAAATTAAATAAAGAGATTTATTTCAGTATGCTCGTTTATGTATGTTTAATAACAAAATGAAATAAAGAGATTTATTTCAGTATGCTCGTTGAGGGTAAACACATTTAACAGCTGAAAAAGTATTAGTTTATTTAATAAATTTGGGCATGTAATTCGAAACAGTTGACATGTACATTTATTTTTCCCTTCACACATTTATTAGACCTTTTAGATGAAATATATATATATGTCAGAAAAATTTAACGAAATTACCAAAATTTCAAGTTTTGAAACCCATTTTCGCAAAACAAAGCACGGTTACAACTTATATTTCCCGATTAAAAACATATTTTCTCAATCTACAATCACCAAGGGTTGACTTGGGTTTAGAAATATGATCATCCACGGATTTCTCCCGTTCCGACAGTTATAAACACTTGCTAAAGTGGGGTGTCTGCTTGACTGTGTGGGTTTAATAAATTCGAAGCCACGACATGTCGGAATGGGGACGGTAAATCCGATGCCAAGTGTGTGAAAACTACGTTCGTTAAAGAACCCTCCTTGCAACAACTCTCTGAGGGCCCGTAGGTGCTCTGTTTCAAGGCAAGTTTTTTCTGTCCCTATTCAACATGTATGTATAACTGGGTGTTTATTTGTTCTCGTCCTGAATATGCACAAAATAATTGCCAAAGAACGTAAGGCAACCAGCAATCAATCACGATTTAAAGTATTTAAAAAATAACAAAATTGACAATACAATGTGAATAATCTGTGTTGACTGCAATTTAGGGTTAGTACCTATCATACGTGTATATTGAACTTGTAAGCAATACCGACCTTTTTCAAATGAAATCTTCCGTTGAAAACGTGAATTATAATGAAATGTTAATGACATACAAGTATTTTTCATAAAAAAATATTTTTAATTTAATTCTTATTACTTTTTATGAAAAAATCTTTAGAGTCTCAATTCTTCTTTTTGAGATAGATCAGTAACTTAGTTAATGCAACTATTGTGGAACACATTTTAGCAATGAGATATTTTATGACCAAAACCATTGGATGACTCTTTATAGGAGTCATTGCCCTTAAATGATGATTTTGACTGTTGCCTATTATCTCGAAAACTATAGACTTTAAAGACAGGTAGAAACTGTAAGCAGCAAAATCGATCAGCACTACATACAAGATCTACAAAAATGCCTATACGACTGAAACCATAAGATGACTCCTTATTGCCCTTAAATGAAAATGTTTGATTATTTTTTAGTTTTTTGCTTATTTCTTAAAAAAACTATAATAAATAGGTTATCTAGGTAGATACAATAAACACCAAACATAACCAGTTATTCAATATGTAGTTTTGTCATGTGAGCGATTCTTCGGATCCTCTTTTTATTTGTAAAGTTCGTCCAATTTTATCAGATTTTATCGTTTTATAATCCTCCTATATATAAATGATCATGGTGCCAATACCTTTTTAAAACACACAAGAAGCTATGAGTTTAAGTTCATATTAACAATTTTTGCTCAGGAATTAACATGAAAAATGAATCTTCATTCCGGTGGCAAATAAAAAAGTTTACAGTAGATTGAGTAAGTGCTGATTAAAATTAATTCCGTATACAATCATTGTTTGCCTTCTACAATATGGTTAATTGGTACCTGTTCGTTGAACTTGATGAATTGCTTACTGTTTTTGTTACCTATTAGTAAAAGAGATTAAGCCCTAGCCATATGGGATAGTTACTTATTCATGCTACTTTATGAGGTAAATTATCTAAGCAGGTCAGGCCATTACTTTAAACTATTTATATTTAACTCATATCAGACATATTTTTATATTGTAGGTATTATTACGTCATTTATACGATACGACTGGTCAGCTGTATGAAGATGTACCACCAAGATTTAAAACATCACATATTGGACTGGCCCTGTATCTAAAACACTGCTTACAGCACTCAAATTTGTTAAAGTAAACAATGACAGTCAACATAAACAAAAGTACATGGACTTTTCTGCTTGTTTAACATTGCTCTAGATTATGTATCCACAATATCAAAAACAATTGTGGTTTATTTTTCTTTTAGAAAAAATTATAACCTTGTTAACCTTTACTTGTAATTTCTCAAATGTACAATAAGACGGAAATATATCAAGGCTCATTATAGTAACCATCTTTACTCTGCGATAAGATGACTATGTCATCTGCATAAAGTATAATAAAAGTTTAATAAAAAAAAAAAAAAAAACTCTCTGTAGTTCACTCTCATTTTCTCTTTAATCCTTTCTATTGGCATCCCATCTAGTTGGCAAAAGTAGTACAAGATCATTTAAAAAGGTCTAGCAGAGAACAGGTGATACGTTATCCCCTGCTTAACACCTGCTACAAAGGAGAAGAATTCTGATTGATAATCATTATACTGAACACATTGTGACAAAAATGCAGTTTAAGCATAAGACAATTTCTGTAATTCAATGTTAAATTGTAATACATCATAGATTACCCATTTGAACAATACATTAACGAATACTTCATTGAAAATCATCCCTTTATCCTTGGTTGCTATGAGACTCGTTGTTGCTAGGGTGCTGTCTTCGAGGTCCGCGATTGGTATATAAGAACACCGATACATTGTGAAAGTTCGTCCGTGCGAGGTCTGTATAGCCAGTCAAAGTCGTTGAAAACTCCCATCATCATCAGAGTTCGTTCATTTGTAATTTGACTGTTGATGGTTAAGCATCTGAAAGTGAATACCAGCAAAAAAATTAGTTGGAATTGGGAAGTTGTTAAACCAATAAGTTAAAGTTGAAAGCTTGTGGTTTGAAGTCTTTACGATTGTTGCAGGCTACCGAGTTGTTCAGAAACTGTAATTTCCCACGGGAATGTTCGCAGTCCCTCGAACAGGTAGTTTGTAATATTGTCTGGTGACTTCAGTGTTTCGGAGACCTGGTCACGTTCTATGGAACTAGGTGTCTCAAGAACTTGTGGTTTGGAAGTTTGAGGCCCGGTTCAGACTTCTTATAGTTTGTAAAGGTTATTGTTTAGCAAATAAATTTGGACCTCGGAGTCAGTTAAAGCATTTAGGATAAATTAAAGTTATAGTTTAGACTTTTGAATACAAAGTAAACTGTATATAATTTTGTAGTTTAGATTCAAAGTTTGTACGGTAGGTCTCATAGTTAATAGTAAAGCTTCCAGGTTGTAGTTAGGTTTTGGGTTAATTAAAAGATTGATATTGAAGTACCTCAGATTATGTGAAAACGGATACAAACAGATGGTTCATATATAAGCCGTTACATCATGACCTTATCCCGCTGTACATATCAAACACAAATTCTAAACATTCCCCCTTAATTTGCTTTTCCGTGATTTTTCACAACCTTGTACGCTAATTATATCGAATGCCTTTCGACAATCCACATGTCAAATGTACAAAGGGGTTCACTAGAACATTTCCAATCCACATGTCAAATGTATGAAAGGGTTCAATAGAACATTTTTCAGAGTAAATGCCTTTCGACAATCCACATGTCAAATGTACGAAGGGGTTCACTAGAACATTTTCAATCCATATGTCAAATGTACGAAGGGGTCCACTAGAACATTTCCAATCCATATGTCAAAAGTACGAAGGGGTTCACTAGAACATTTCCAATCCACATGTCAAATGTACGAAAGGGTTCACTAGAACATTTTTCAGAGTAAATGCCTTTCGACAATCCAAATGTCAAATGTACGAAGGGGTTCACTAGAACATTTTTCAAGTAAATGCCTTTCGACAATCCACATGTCAAATGTACGAAAGGGTTCACTATAAAATTCAAAACCACATGTCTAATGTACGAAGGGGTTCACTAGAACATTTCCAATCCACATATCAAATGTACGAAAGGTTTCACTAGAACATTTCTCAGAGAAAATGCCTTTCGACAATCCACATGTCAAATGTACGAAAGGTTTCACTAGAACATTTCTCATAGTAAATGCCTTTCGACAATCCACATGTCTTATGTACAAAGGGGTTCAATAGAACATTTCTCAGAGTAAATGCCTTTCGACAATCCACATGTCAAATATACGAAGGGGTTCACAAGAACATTTCCAATCCACATGCCTTATGTACGAAGGGGTTCACTAGAACATTTCCAATCCACATGTCAAATGAACGAAATGATTCACTAGAACATTTCTCAGAGTAAATGCCTTTCGACAATCCACATGTCAAATGTACGAAGGGGTTCACCAGAACATTTACAGAGTAGATGCCTTTCGACAATTCACTGGTCAAATGTACGAAGGGGTTCACTAGAACATTTCCAATCCACTTGTCAAATGTACGAAGGGTTTCACTAGAACATTTCCAATCCACATGTCAAATGAACGAAAGTGTTCACTAGAATATTTTTCAGAGTAAATGCCTTTCGACAATCCAAATGTCAAATGTACGAAAGGGTTCACTAGAACATTTCTCAGAGTAAATGCATTTCGACAATCCACATGTCAAATGAACGAAGGGGTTCACTAGAACATTCCAAACCACATGTCTAATGTACGAAGGGGTTCACTAGAACATTTCCAATTCACATGTCAAATGTACGAAAGGTTTCACTAGAACATTTCTCAGAGAAAATGCCTTTCGACAATCCACATGTCAAATGTACGAAGGGGTTCACAAAAACATTTTCAATCCACATGTCTAATGTACGAAGGGGTTCACTAGAACATTTCCAATCCACATGTCAAATGAATGAAAGGATTCAATAGAACATTTCTCAGAATAATTGCCTTTATACAATCCACATGTCAAATGTACGAAGGGGTTTACTAGAACATTTCCAATCCACATGTCTAATGTACGAAGGGGTTCACTTGAACATTTCCAATCACATGTCAAATGTACGAAGGGGTTCACTAGAACATTTCCCCAGAGTAAGTATAATCCGGAAGATTTGACAATTGTAAATAAGAAGTGAACACTGTATGTATATACTTTTATATGTTATTTTGAGATTAGTTTTGGATTGGGTCCAGTACTGCCCGGACACTGCTTACAAAGTTAAAATTATTGGTATTCTGACTTTGAGTTAATATAGTCAGAAAAACTCCCGGTTATATAAGCTATAAAACTTTTCTGTATTCCCTATTTTTAATTGTCTAGGTTTGTGATCATTGGATTTGTTAAAAGCACCACGATTTACATAACTTCCGTATTTAACCATGCTAATAACACCGTTTTTCTTGCTTTCTTTTTTCCCGGACCACGGTATTTATCAATGACTCACACTATACCATCTATTCAGGTGTGACATCCTCAATATTTACACAGTCGAGTACACCGTTCACATTTTGTAAAACTTTACCTATATCATCCCTGAGAACACTCGTTCAAATTCAGGTGCCTGGAGGATTCAATTTGACGCAAGTATTACCTTTGCTTTTATTTTTTTCTGTCTTCGTAGCGCCACTGAATGCGTGTCTTGTCAATCGAAAAATGTTACCGATAATGAACATCAGAGAACATGCATTTGCAAAGACTACCATTTGAAATACTGTGACGAATTGAACATCGTTAAAACATTGATGTTTCATAAGATTTCGTAGATATGATTGGCCGACAATATTCCAATATAATGTTTTATTCTATGATTCCATTACAACGTTGCAACAATGCATGCATATAGCAAAACCAACGAAAAACTTTATTTAAGTCGTCTTTTTATAGTTGCAGCATAAAAATGTAATTATAAGAAATAAATGCATCATCCATGCCTTTTTATTTTTTGTATATAACAAGGACGTTCGTGTGCATATGTTTGGTACGAAATGCTTCCGGTGGTCAACGCTTTTACATACCAATAACATTACACAATAAATAAATTGCTTCGCCGAGCGCAGCTGGATACGACCGCAGAGGTCCAACCCTGAACAGTTGGGGCAAAAATGGACACAATATTCGCGCTTGATACAGGTCTGAATTTGGATTGTAATTCAATATTTGACACATAATAGGTTTCTGACACAGAATAACTGTAGTCAAAGAACTTAGAATTGGTTATATATGATTTGAATTTATATTCAATTTTTTGCTTTTGTGCAATACACTATGCTGTTGCGAATTGACCCCCCCCTTTTTTTTTAAATTGAAGGAATTGACCACCCCCCCCTTTCCTTTTTCCAAAAAAATTTTTTTCCCTCAGTCATGGTCATAATTTCAATTAAAATTTCCAATGGAGTTTGCAACCATAATAACCCATTTAAATACATCATAAAAGTCTTAAAATAGAAAATGACATACATAATCATAGCTAAATTTAATTTACCTTAATCATCATTTTTAAAATTATTAAAATAGTAGATTCTAAAAATGAATTGACAGCTAATCACCTCAAGACAATACAAAAATTATTTATACATAATTTAAAAGCAGTGTAAGGGAGGTAATTCAAAGTTGTGTTTGAATTACCTCCCTTCCACTGTAATTTGTACTTAAGTAATTGTCCATTAACCAGGACACCCTTGTTTTTTCTCACTTTTTTGCCCCTAATTCCTAAACGGTTTGAGCCATAACACCCCCAAAGCCAATCCTAACCATCCCTTTGTGGTATGGAAACTTGTGGCATAATTTCAGAGAGATCCATACACTGTTCCACAAGTCATTGTCATGAAACTAGAAAATGCTTATTTGGGCCCCTTTTTGGCCCCATTTCCTAAACTGTTGGGACCATAACCATAACCATAACCATAACCTTTTGTGGTTATAAACCTTATGTTTAAATTTCATAGATTTCTATTTACTAATACTAAAGTTATTGTCCGGAAACCAAATGTCTTCGGACGACGACGACGACGTGATACCAATATACGACCGCAAAATTTTATAAAAATCATTCATTTCTTAAACAAATAATCGACATATTATGAGTAAGACGACGGGTGTCACGTGGAACAGGATCTGCTAACCCTTCCGGAGCACCTGAGATACACCCGGTTTTTGGTTGCATTCTTGTTGATCAGTCTTTAGCTGTTCTATGTTGTGTTTTATTTACTTTGTCTTTTCGTCGTTTTTCGTTTTTTGCCATGACATTGTCTGTTTGTTTTCGACTTATGAATTTGAATATTCATTTGGTATCGTTTGCCGCTTTTATATATATATATATTATGTTACTGCTCAGAGTTTAATACTAGACAGTTGTATTAAAGCTACATCATATTCATTTCGGACATAGCATGCTGGACAGATTCTTTAGAATTATAACAGAAAATTTAGAGAAAAAAATATGTAAGCATTGAAAATTTGACGCTTTATGAACCTTTTATACTGTTAGTTGCCATTATGAAATATTTTTAAACATATTTGATCTGGTTTTAATACAATGAAAAGACATATGTGTTGGATTGTCTTACCATCTAAATCCTTAACAAATTAGATTAAGTGACCAACTTAATAAAAATCCGTTTAAATAGCATGGTATACGACATAATGGATTTGGGGAGTGTAGTCCAGTAAAACATTATTGTTATATTATTTTCTCAAAAGTATACTAATTCAGTATGTTACCTTGATTGAAGATGTTACCTTGATAAAAGACATTACCTTTACAAGGTCAATAAACCTAGTGATTTATTTATTGATTATTGCAAGCAAAGGCATCATTCTATATTAATTAAATTAACACGAATTCTTCACTTAATTTCCCTGATAGTGGTACATTACAATCCAAATTAACTTTTAACAATGCCTCTATCTTGTATCTGCATATAGTATAATTACTTCATTAATCGATATTCAGTGTTGCGGCAGATTGTGGGAGGGCACAACAAATTGAGATGGATCTATCCTCCACAGAGGGCAGTGAGGCCTCAGATGACTCAGGAATATGGATGTCAGTACTCAAATGTTACATTTGTGGAGATTTATTCCGGAAACCTCGGATACTGCCTTGTGGACATACGTTCTGTTCAGACTGTTTGTTATCGTTACGAGATGAAGTGGCCATGGAGTTTAAAAAGAAGTACAAGGCTGCTTTTAGGAGAGGTGAAAGTGGTGTGATGACCTGTCCACATCCAGAATGTGACTATTCGCTGAGAATCATGAATTTGAGAAGATGGACAATGAAAAACAAAGCAGCTGCAGAAGCTGTTGGGATGTTGAGAAAGAAAATCCAGGACAAAAGGGTATGTAGTCGTTTAAAATTTAAAATTTCTTTATGAATTCCAAGGACTTCATGTCCCAACTTACTTATTTGTGAAATGAAATACGCTTCCTTCTAATATATATATAGGTGGCTTCTGACTTAAATCCAGTTAGATTGGTATATTGTATTCCTCTAAATAACATAGTCGATCAAATAACTCATCATAGATACCAGTATTAAAATTTTTGTACGCCAGACGCGCGTTTCGTCTACAAAAGACTCATCAGGGACGCTCGAATCAAAAATGTGTAATAAGGCCAAATAAAATACGAAGTTGAAGAGCATTGAGGACCCAAAAGTCCGAAAGGTTTCGCCAAATATAGCTAAATACTATTTCGAAAAATTCAAACGCGTATATAACTTAAGCCTCGCTTTCTGTCATACCTCATACAATAGATTGTAGGTAAATTGTATTTTTAAGCACGTTCAAGGTAAAGATTTTTAGGCAAGATAACAAGAATCACGAAATTTGAAACTTAAAATTTAAATAAGTGTGCTTTGTAATATTTTTAATGGATATTTGATCATGATTGGTGGACGCTATTGAAATTTTTAATGGAACTGTCAGTATAGTTGACCAAATTGTTTTCACAGGAAAGTGCAACACAGACAAATCTTCAGCTTGGAAACCAACCTCTATCTTTACCTAGGATCCTGTATACAGTCTCTCGACAGCCCCAGGAGGATGTCGTAACACCTACTAGTAATATGGAACATATGACTAATTCGTTATTAAGAATGGACCCAATCAGCAAATCACATCTGTCATTAAACACAGAGGTCAAATCTTGGAGGTCATTAGCTACATTAATTGGTATGAATTTGGTAGGAGAGATGTTTTCTCTGTCGTACTAGTTTCTTACTGCTCATATATGATTACTTAACAATGTGCCATATAATGAACTATATAATCCTTGTTCTTCAATGACACCTTTCGCCTACTTTTCGAAATTCATTGAAGTAAGAATGGGTAACTTTTTTAAACGCTGAAATCTCCAATATTAATATTTGTTTGTATTAACAATGTGCCATAGAATGAATAAAATCATCCTGTTTCTTTAATGACATCTTTCGCGTTCTTTTTGAAATATAAAAAGAAAGAAAGGAATGGGTAACATTTTAAACGCTGAAATCACGTGGAATAAACATCTGTAGGCTTACAAAACCAGAGATTATTTTTCTTGTTACCACATTTATTTAGAAAAATATGTCTGAGTCAACAAATTTTAGAATTGTTTTGAAAAAGTATATCAATCTCCTTGTGAAGGATAAATTGGGAGGATCATGAACACATTATAAAGGACCATGAACACATTTGTGGGAGGACCATGAACACATTAGTGGGAGGATCATGAACACATTAATGGGAGGATCATGAACACATTTGTCGTTTTCGTTTCTGTACAAATGTTTGTTCTTTGCTCACCAATCAGAGTCATCAATAATTCCACAAGCGCTTGTGGCATAGACCTCCCTTTTTCTTTTCCATTTTTTACGGTAAATATTTTTTTTTTACTTATTTTCACCAGAGACATATATACTAACGCGTGATCTTGACAGCTCGGTAATAGCCGTAACGATAAGTTGTCAATCTCTTTAGTATATATGTCTCTGTTTTCACTTGTCAAATGCGATCATGCTCTTATATATCAATTACAATAACAGTTGTTAATATGTGCTTAATGGTACCCCTCTAACCTTATTTTCACGACAGGCCCTGGGGCAGCATATAGGCCATATCAAATTACTGTAACTGAAATATAGAACACATTAAAAAATGAAAATACGTTAACATAAATAAGTATATATACTAAAAATAAACACAAAAAATTGAGCAAAAAGGGGTCCATGTCCAAAGCGCCTGTGAATATAAGCGATTTTCAGCGAAACCCATTTTAAGTTATCAGGGATTTTACAGCATTTAGTTTTCTGTAAACATGTATATTTCTGTAAACATGTATATATATATCGTTGTTGTAACCATTAGTCTTTCACATGTTAACATTTTCTTGATTGTTATATGATAATTCAAATTAAAATCAATCTTCTATATACAGATGTGTTGAATTATTGAACGTTATATCATCAGTATGAAATCCATCAATACTTAATATACAATACTGTGTATGAAATCCATCAATACTTAATATACTGAGTATGAATGTAGAGTTGGATAGTTTTTATAAATATTGACTTCTTTAGTCAGCTCTCGTGGGTGACCGGTTTGGGGGAGATTCCGTCTTCATTTGGCTGAGCGGGATGTTTTTAAATACGCAGTAACGTTCGGTTAAAATTGTGACGTTAGTTCAAAATTAAAAGGCGAAACTTCTGCTCTGACCATGGAGTTTAATTTCTCGCCATTCATCCCTACTTTTCAGAACCTACCTAAAACATAGTTAATGTAGCCATTATAAAGCAGCGGAATATAACGACCGAACTATGCAAGTTAGTCGACTCTTGAATATACACTGGACATAATTGTACGGCGTCTCCTTTCCATATATTATGTTTCATATACTACTGTGATTGATGATTGTTAACCTGCACTTGCCCTTTATTTTGATGCCGATTGCTTTTTTTATAATCGATGCATAACTAATAACTGATCATAACTAATGTCTTCTTATGTCTCTTATCATACCTTTGATATTTTACAAACATGACTACAGAAAAAAACTTTTTTAAACATTGCGACTAGAGGTGCGATAAGAGCATTATGAAATTACCTTTGGGAAAACGAATTTGTCTTATTTAACCCATTTGACCGTAGGTTGAACCATAGGAACTCTCGGAATCCCGTCCAGAAATAGGCAAGATATCACAAGGAAATGTGAACAGATAAGTATTTCTCATATAACCTCCTTGGCTGGACCAAGGATTTAACGTGAGGGTACATGAATTGCATCTATTTTGATAGTTTTTTTCACCTTCGTTTATTTAAGAAACAGACAAAAGTTTCCTTCTTTGTATATTTTGTATTTCATATTAGATGTATTCTTTTTTACTATATAGTTTCACAAGTTTAATTTTGAATCCCGACACCTAATCACAGAAAACCCTCAAACGACCCAGATTCTGTAATGACCAGTACCTATAAATTGCATCCATATGGGCTTAACTTCACACCCGTAAAATCGAATAACTGAAATTTTATTTATTTATTCACATTTTTAAAACAATTTGACAATAGTGGAGCCCTGGTAAGAACTGAAAACAAATAACTTTGCAAAAGACAGGATGAAAATGAATATTTCGCAACACAAAATGCAGAAAACAAATGTGTACAACAGTGAAAGTAAATTTTCGCGCGGCAAAGCGACGGACAGAAAATAACTTCGGCTTGCGTAGCAACAGATGAAAATAAATGATCAATCCGGGAACCCCCACTCCAGAATATCAAATGGTCGTCCCATAACCCTCGAATATTGAAAAAAAAAATAGTAAAGAATTCAAAAGCCCTCATATCCCGAATATTTTCTCCAAACAATAGTTTGTTTATAGCTTTTAGTGTGTTGTGACTCTGACCTTTGACTGAGCTGAGTGACTTAACATCGATTGAGTTTGATAAAGATTAGAAAAACAAGTTACTTTTGTATATCTCAATAGAAACAATTAAATAATTTCAGAGTTACGCGTGCAACAAATTACAAATTGGTCAAATATATTTTATTAATAAACAGGATTTTCAATAATTTTTATTTAACTGGACACATATACAAAAAAAAATATAAGAAGATGTGATAAATAATCATTGCCAAAATGAGACAACTATCCACCAGAGCCCAAATCATGTCGGTAAAAGCAACATGTTGGTTTGAAACATAGGTCACAATGTCATGTTTTCAAACCTTCATCTTTCATGAAAAACACAGCTAGTGAATGTACAAAATTCCATTGCAAGGCAGAAAATAAAGTTCAAAGGATTATTACCAGAACAAGACATTTTAACAAAGGTTGCAAGAACCAAAAATAAACCAACACATTTTGACACAGAAGTACTTTAATAATTTAATTTTTCTTTTTTTTTTTCTAATAAAAAAAAAGAAGTACTTTTGATATAAAAATCAGAAGATGTGGTATGATTGCCAATGAGACAACTCTTCACAAGAGACCAAATGACATAGAAGTTAACAACTATAGGTCACCGTACGGCCTTCAACAATGAGCATACCGCATAGTCAGCTATAAAGGACCCCGAAAAGACAAATGGAAAACAATTCAAATGAGAAAACTATCGGCTTGAAAGTATATTTAAGGCAAATGGAACTCCCACAAAAACTGGAAATATTTCAAGTGTTATTGAAGGGTAACGTTTCTGCTCAATCAGAGACATATATCTGGCTACATATACTACGTTATTGTCAGAGTTGATATTGTCAAAAACGGTGAATCATTTCTTCTCCCATAATTTAGTTACAGTGGTCACAATACAACTCATGGTACCTACGATTTTCGCAGATTAAAAAGTTTATAACAAACAAAACTTAACTTATCAATCGGTGAATCAATTATTGTGTTCTCTCATGGAAGTCTCTGAAATGGACACATTGCTCTGTAGAAGTATGTGAAATAAGCAGATGCTTGTAGCATAAAACGAATGAAATCTAACTTAACAGCCAGTACCTGTTTAAGGTTTGTAAACTACATATCCTGTTGCACAATACTGTTCAAGGTAAGTGTTATAATGGAGGGATATTTATATGATCCTACTCCTTTAAAGCTTGTATTAATAAAATAGAAATAATACATAATTTTATATTTGAAAATTTTTAATGTGAATGTACTTTATTGTCACCAGAGATGATTTACTGCAAAAAAATGGTCCACTTTTAAGATTTTCACCTCCTGTTTACACTATATTGAAAAAAGGAGATGGGGTATGATTGCCATTGAGGTATCTATCCACCAGAGACTATTGATCATGCATCTGTTTACACTACATTAAAATAAGGATATGGGGCATGATTGCCATTGAAATATCCACAAGAGACTGTTGACCACTTTATTAAAATAAGGATATGGGGCATGATTGCCATTGAAATATCCACAAGAGACTGTTGACCACTTTATTAAAATAAGGATATGGGGCATGATTGCCATTGAAATATCCACAAGAGACTGTTGACCACTATATTAAAATAAGGATATGGGGCATGATTGCCAGTGAGATATCCACAAGAGACTGTTGATCATGCATCTGTTTACACTATATTAAAATAAGGAGATGGGTCATGATTGCCATTGAGATATCCACCAGAGACTGTTGATCATGTATTGAATAGTGGTTCAGGGGTAAGTCGAAGATGATGATGTCTACTTACCACTGCCGCTTACAAATATTCATACACACATTTCTAAGTTTACTCCAAAGCGAACACTCCAAAACAAGAGGCAGAAGATACCAAGAGCACAACCAAAAACCAGAAGCTACAACAATGACACATTTCATAAGATTGTTTAAATAAAATGCTCCGCTGGGCTCAGCTTGATACGACCGCAGAGGTCGAACCCTGAACAGTTGGGGCAAGTATGGACACAACATTCAAGCTTGATACAGCACTGAATTTGGATTGTGATTAAATATTTGACACAGCACAGGTTTCTGACACAGAATAAATGTGGTCTAAGAACTTAAATTTTTTTAATTTACCTATTCAAACCATATCATTATTATTTGCTTTTATATATAAATCAGAAATAACCAATTTAAAATGGAAAATTTTAAAGAAAAAAATCCCCCCCCCAAAAATTGTTTGAACCCCCTTATGATTCATCACCCCCAAACTCAATCCCAGCCTTCCCTTTGTGGTATGGTACCTGCAGTACAATTTCAGAGAGATCCATACACTTGAACACAAGTTATTGTCTGGAAACTAGAAAAATGCTTGTTTTTTGGCCCCTTTTTGGCCCCAAATTCCTAGACGTTTAAGGCAATTTATACCCCCAAACTCAAACTCACCTTTCCCTTTGTGTAATGGAACCTTGTAGTACAATTTCAGAAAGATCCATACACTTACACACAAGTTATTGTCATGAAACTAGAAAAATGCTTGATTTTTGCCCCTTTTTTGGTCCCTAATTCCTAATATTTTGAGGCAATTACCCCCAAAATCAATCCCAGCCTTCCCTTTGTGGTATGGTACCTTGCAGTACAATTTCAGAGAGATCCATACACTTGAACACAAGTTATTGTCTGGAAACTAGAAAAATGCTTATTTTGGCCCCTTTTTGGCCCCTTATTCCTAAACATTTTGGACAATTACCCCCAAACTCAATTCCAGCTTTCCCTTTGTGATATGGAACCTTGTAGTACAATTTCAGAAAGATTTAACACTTACACACAAGGTATTGTCATGAAACTAGAAAAATGCTTGTTTTTTGCCCCTTTTTTGGCCCCTAATTCCTAATATTTTGAGGCAATTACCCCCAAAATCAATCCCAGCCTTCCCTTTGTGGTATGGTACCTTGCAGTACAATTTCAGAGAGATCCATACACTTGAACACAAGTTATTGTCTGGAAACTAAAATGCTTATTTTTGGCCCCTTATTCCTAAACGTTTTGGGCAATTACCCCCAAACTCAATTCCAGCTTTCCCTTTGTGATATGGAACCTTGTAGTACAATTTCAGAAAGATCCATACACTTACACACAAGTTATTGTCATGAAACTAGAAAAATGCTTGTTTTTTGCCCCCTAATTCCTAATATTTTGAGGCAATTACCCCCAAAATCAATCCCTGCATTCCTGAGTGATATGGAACCTTGTGGTACAATGTCAGAGAGATCCATACACTTGAACACAAGTTATGTTTGGAAGTTACAAAAATGCTTATTTTTGGCCCCTAATTCCTTAACTGTTGGTACCATAACCCCCAAAATCAATCCCAACCTTCCTTTTGTGGTATTGAACCTTATGGTAAAATTTCATAGAGATCCATTCACTTAAACTAAAGTTAGAGTGCGAAAACCAATGTGTCTTCGGAAGACGACAATGACGACGACGCCAACATCATACCAATATACGACCGCAAAAATTTTTTGCGGTCGTATAAAAACACCTTCTTCAAAAGGTACAGAAGATCATTCAATTATAGATTTTTCTCAATCAGTACTTTTATCCAACTTTCTTCATTTAGTTGTCATTTTACCTCATTCTAGATATATTTTTAATGTTTCATAAGTTAAAGTGTTTAAATGATTGCTTGATTGATTGTTGGTTGCTTAACATGCATTAGCAAATATTTCATGCATGTTAAGGACGAAAAAATGTCCAACTACTTGTAAATGACCTATGAGCTGCTGGATAAAGGCAAATACGTGTTGAAGGCCGTGCTTTGACCTATAATGGTTTACTTTTACATATTGTGACTTGGATGGAGAGTTGTCTCATTGGCACTCATACCATATCTTCTTATATCTAAATATATCTATTTCAGTATTCCTGAAGCAGCTGGCAAATCTGCTATGATAGCATAGGAGCAGAAAACATGTCCCAACAAAATTAGAGTTCAGTAACATACAATGTATCTTTTACATATAAATCAGAGAACAATTTGGGTAGCCTATTTTCTCAATGAAACTTCCGCAACAAAAATCTATATGATACAAAACTATATTGTAATTATTTATTCTGCAACAAAAATGTAAGTGATGTAAAACTTGTAATTATTTATTATGTTTCTAGCACCATATTATGTAAGTATAGATCAAGCACCTGCTAACAACCATCAAAACAAACAATTATAATATGAATAATTTACATAAAGCATGAATAGGAGTTATTATTGAACAAAACAACATCATACATGTCATGATTTCAGGTCTAAATATTTGGTTCAACTTCCATTTCTGATAATTTTGAAATATTCTATAGAAGATGATTTTTGGGGTAAATTCTGTAATAGGTACTATAAACTTGGTTGTTTAAGGATCCAATATGAAAAAAGTAATTTTACTTCTAAAGGAATATGAAATCTTTATTTCTATATTTCATGCAAAATGAATATTATTTTACATATATAAAAAAAATATTATATATGGTTACTTATTTGCTTTTTTCTACTCTACCATTGACAACAGTAAACATTCTGAGTTTGCTTTGGTATCCAACTATTTCAATAACTGAATAACGTACTAATGTTCTTTATTATAATTCACTTTTTCAAAAAAAACCTTAAATTTTTCCTAATTGAAAATTAAAAAAAGTCTTGAATTCCTTTTTTTCATTGAAACCATAAACTATATTTCCTCAACATTTCCTATTATTTACATTAATGCAAAATCTTAATCACACAAAATATCCTACTGGCCAGTTGGCAAGAAAAATATACATTTCAGGATAGATCCACTAGCTCTATAAGTAATGAAAGATTATTATAAATGATATTTGTGATAGAATTTATATAATGTAATAAATTTGGAAAATGAAAAAAAAAAATATACAGGAGCAATATTTTATGAAGTGATCTGTAAGTATTTACTGAAAATGAAAATATCAATCAAAACTGTTTCAGAGGTTTTGCAGTAACTACATTATACAAAACTGTACAGGAAAAATATCCATTAATATTGTACTGAAAATTAGAATTTGACAACATTTCCAGCGGCACTGTTTCTCCTATTTAACAACACTTTCCTGGAGCACAACAAGCAGGACTGACTTGTTCTCCTTTCTTTTCTTTCTCCAGTAAAACATCAAATGGATTATCTACCTTTAAAATATAAACATATTACACGTTATAGTTTGCTATGGACATGATTGACTGAATGTAATCTACAGTCTGTAGAAATTACATATTTAATCTAAAATATATCTTCAAGAAAGTATTCCAATTTTAATGTAAAGATGGAAATTTGTTATTAGTGTTTAATTTTCGCTTATTTGGAGATGAAGATAAAACATAAAAATATTCCCTCTTTTAAGTTTGTTCTTTAAAGAATGTTAGAACTATGGTCAAAAACACAAAAATAAAACCTTGTTTCAAGTTTGATCCTAGAAATCACAAAATTTCAACTCCACCAAAATAAATAAGTTTGTAATTTTTGTTAACCAAACAAGTAGAAGCTGCTTATCTGTCAGGTCTGCTTTATATGATAATTACATTTTCATTGATGTAGTCTGCTATTTCTAGATTTAATTATATGCATGTCAAGTACAGTGTAGAAACTTACAGTATTCCCTGTTGTTTCACAGACCCCTTTTGATGCTGGTTGAAATTCAAACTCATCTGAAAATCTTGAATTCTTTAATATAGTAACCAGTTCTGAGTCAATTGTGTAGACATCACCTGTCTGATAAAAATCGTAGAGAATAAAATAAAATATCAAGAATAGATAAATTTTGATTTGTTTTATAAATGCAGACATTATCTGCATGATCTGTTGAATAAAATAATAAACTGAAGGAAACGATTTAGCACAAATATGATTTTTATTGATAAAATAATGACATGCATAAAGCGATTCATGACAGTTACAATAATTTTAGTAAAACATAATCCTGAACTTCCTCAAGTCATTCCAACAGGCAAGGGAAATTATCTTTGGAAAGGGAGATGATTTAACAATAAATCATTTGGAAAATAAATATATATAAATGAAGAAGCAAACAATTCTGTAAACAATCTGAGATCCGAATAGAAAGATAGGAAAGTTTATAAATACATATTTGGATAAAGAACAGTTTTTTTTTTTTCACAGCCAATTGGTCTTGATTTATGTACACCTATCTTAAGAACTAAATAGTCACAACCTAAAAACTGTACCTTTATGAAACTGCTTGCATTGTCGACCTACTCATAACGTAATAATGCGTCTTTTGTCAATTTATAGCTACTAACTAAAAACTCCTGAATACCTTGAAATGATTTCTGTGATCAAAATCTAGTTGATTCTCGCATCCTGTTACATCGCCACTATAAATAACTTGTAATGGTGGAGACTTTTCTACTTTGGGTAGCTTGAACAATCTGTATGTGACAGAACAAAACTTGGCATCACCTGTTAAGTAAATATGTTAAACAAATGTCAAAGATTGAATGACTAATAAATGCAATGATTTTCTTCTACATTGAACTTAGCTTAAGTGCTACACCAAAAGAAAAATACAATATCATAATAGAAAGGATTCATGCATTTCAGACCTAATATGTAAGTAATTGATAGATATTAGAAAGTAAATAATGAGTTTCCTACATTTTGAAGGATTTAAAAACTAGAGGCTCCCAAGAGCCTCTGTCGCTCACCTGTATCTACTGTTGTTTTCAAATTGTAAAATAAGGTTAAAATCATAATTAATGGTATTAAATACCCTAATAATGATTCAGGCCAACATCAAAATGGATCAGACACAAGTACTTCGTACTTATATTGTCTTCTTCTGAATACTATTATCATAAAAGAATTCTATTTGAGCGTTCATTCAATACATTTTAAGGTGTGTGCTCCTTTTTGCAATGATTTTTCCTCGACTCCGATTGTCTCCTTGGTATCTCATTCCTCTCTCTTTTTTTAAACTGATACAAATTGGCTCATTATATTTTGATACATCTTAGTGTTTTAACATTAAACAATGAAAATTTAACTCCAAAAGGTAAGATAAAAATTAATATAATTTAAAAACTAGAGGCTCTCAAGAGCCTGTGTCGCTCACCTGTTTCTACTGTGGTTTTGGAAACCATGTAAAATAAGGTTAAAATCATAATAAATAGTATAAGATACCCCAATAATGATTGAGACCAAGTTTGATTTAATTTGGCCCAGTAGTTAAATTAAAAGCAGATCATCCCATTGTAGTCTTACAATAGTTACTGAAGACCCCTTATCATTATTCAAATTAGTTTTCAGGTTGTGACCATTTGAAATTGTTTTATTTACAATTTTCCCTAAGACTTCTATAAACCCCTATGTTATATTTTTAGCCATGGTGGCCATGTTGGTTGGATGACAGGGTCATCGGATACATTTTTCAATAAGATACCCCATTGAAAATTGTGGCTAAGTTAAATTCTATTTGGCCCAGTAGATTAAGTGGAGAAGTGTTTTGTAAAAGATTAAAAAAATTTAAGAAAAATTTACTATAAAAGGCAATAACTCATTAAGGGGTCAATTGACAATTTTGGTTATATTGACTTATTTGTAGATCTTACTTTGCTGAAAATTATTGCTGTTTACAGTTTATTTCTATCTATAATAATATTCAAGATAATAACCCAAAACTGCAAAATTTCCTTAAAATTACCAATTCAGGGGCAGCAACCCAACAATGGGTTGTCTGATTCGCCTGAGAATATATATCTCAACCTGATTAACATTTTAACCCCATGTCAGATTTGCTCTAAATTCCTTAATTTCAGAGATATAAGCCAAAAACTGCATTTTACCCCCTGTGTTCAATTTTTAGCCATGTCGGCCATGTTGATTGGCAGGCAGGGTCATCAGACACATTTTTTAAACTAGATACCCTAATGATGATTGTTGCCAAGTTTGGTTAAATTAGGCCCAGTAGTTTCAGAGGAGAAGATTTTTTTAAAAGTTAACGGACGACGACGGACGCCAAGTGATGAAAAAAACTCACTTGGCCCATTGGGCCAGGTGAGCTTAAAATCAACAGAGAAATATAAGCCCAAAATATAAATTATATATAAAAAATATAAGCAATTATATCTCTTCCCATGATTTTATGTTTGTTAAAAAAATCAATAATTTTTCAGTAATAGCTATAACAATATAGCTTACATAATGTAACAGATGTTAACTCAAAAAGTAATTGCTTAAAGACTTAATTATTTTATATACTGGGTTCATTAGAATTAGTAATCATATTTCATATGTGTAAATTAGGTCTTATTATTTAAATAATTAATAATTGATTGTTGCTTTTTTTACATCCAGTGGCAAATATTTCATGAATATCCAGGAGGATAATAATATAACAGTAAATCCAATGGGTAGGTTCTACAAAGTGGGACAACCAGAATGAAGGGAGGAACATTTTGATTGCCACTTGGAATGGAGGTTATTTAAGCAAGGCACAGAAAATTGCTTGGCATAAGACACCTGCCAACCTTTTAAATAGTTGATGCAAGGGTTCTTCTAAGTAAATTGGATTAAACATTCCATTCTGAAAAGACTCTGTATTTGTACTTCCTGCACAGCAAAAAACATCTCGTTTTTTATATAGATTAGACCGTTGGTTTTCCTGTTTGAATGGTTTTACACTAGTCATTTTTGGGGCCTTTTATAGCTTGCTGTTTGGTGTGAGCAAAGGCTCCGTGTTGAAGGCCGTACTTTGACCTATAATGGTTTACTTTTACAAATTGTGACTTAGATGGAGAGTTGTCCCATTGGCACTCGTACCACATCTTCTTATATCTATATGATAATTTTGGTCAATAAAAAACAAGATATTTCTTATTTTTCATCTATGTAAACAATATTGTAAAAAAATAATCTTAACAATTGAATCAAACCGGATCAAGCTAAGGACTGTTTACCTAATATTTTTTTGAAATCATCTCTGTCTATAGGTATAGGAGATACAGTTTCAAGTCTTGGTGTACTGAACCCTGTCTTCTCGGCCAGTGAAATCAGATCCTTCCAGCACAGGGCACCTGCTATACACTCACCTGCAATAAATAAAGATTAAAGAACTTTACCCTTCTCTAAAATACAGTATGCAAATTAGGCAATTGCCTCCTTTTCCTCTGTTGCAGAAAAGAGACAGGTTTAATTTCCATGTAACCCATAGTTTGAATGTTCTAAAAGTCAAAGTTTTAGTTTCTATTTATTAAAGATTATTATCTTATAATCTGTAAACCATTCTGGTAAAAAATGAAATGTATAATTTGATTACAACATTTATACTGCCTCCCATGCAAAGTCATTTAATTCTGTATAGTGTTTTGGACTGTCTGTGGAAGTTTGATAAGTGTAAGCCTTTATGTAAGTTCTCCTAGATTGCAGGAAAATGGTATATGACTGTGACTTTTTTCACAAAAAATCTTACGAGTAAAAACACTAGTAAGTCATGATGAAAATTTCAGTATAACTTACAATCAATTTTAGTCATAAAATATTTTGTGAAAAGAGCCCCAGGTTCTTCAAAAAACACTTGGCATATTTTATTTTGGCAATTCAGTATTTGTCAGGAAGATCTGATTTAAAATATTATTATGAAATTGTCACTTTAATTTTGTCTACATGCACTATTTGTGTGTTAATATTTAAGACAAAATCGTCTGAGATTTCACAATCCCCTTTTAAATACATACTCAGTTAGCCTATTAGCTTACAATTACTTACCCCATAATGTCTCATGTTTCCTTACTGAATCATCCAGATTTCTGTCACAATAAACGTCACTGAAATACAACTCTCCACCTTCCTGTCAAAAGTGAACAAAATAAACATTACCAGGTTTCCTTCATTAAGGTATCTCTGTGGTTTTTTATACAAATATTGTCACTTTAAATTCTTGTGGAAGTTTATCTTTTTAAGATTTAGGACAAACATGATATTATTTGGTCAAACATTATGTCAGGTCTAATCATTTTGACCTTACCATGCTGTGATATAACATTTTCTGAACATCTGAGCACAATGAAAAAGGTTAAAATGAGTGGTTGCACTATGAAGTTGTGTTGGCTGCGGTCTCCAAATACTGTAAATTCAGAAATTATTGCGTGCATTTATTATTGCGATTTTGTCATTTTAGACTAAAATGCGATTTTAATTTTTGCGATATTGAGAAAAATCCTGTTTAATTCATATAAAAAATTTGAAAATGCGAGTTTAAATTATTGCGATTATAAACCTGTCGCATTTTTCGCAATAATAAAAACAACGCAATAATTTCTGAATTTACAGTAATATAATCCGAAATAAAAAAAAATCCAAATATTGGTATGGAAAACAAAAAAAAATTTAATAAAAGTTTAACAGTTAATTTAGCAGGTACACAACTTCATGTCCTGGAATAGAAACTGCAAATTTGCATGGTAAAATTCTGTCATGCAGTTTTCATAGAAATGCAGATAAACAAACTGATAAAAACAGAAATGGGTTAGTCTATGTTTTGTTATGGAAAACCCGAAAAAATCACTCAGATCAAATATCAAACTAGCAGGTGCATATTGCATTTCTTGTAGAAGAATTTGTGAAGGCTTGTTTTAATCCTTTCAAACCATTTAAGAGTTGCAGATTAGCACAAAGTGTGTCAACAACAAGGCAGACAAAAACACAGACAGGACACAAGTCCATAAAAGTGATTTCTATTTCCTGTCAGGTCACCAAAAAAAATAATAGAAGTGAAATTTGGAATTACCTTGAGAACTTTGTAGGCTTCAGACAATACAGCACATTTGTCAGGTGACAGATTCACTACACAGTTGGACCTGTAAATGTTAAGAATAGTTATAAATAGAATAAACAGAAACTATTAGAGATCTACTATCAAAAAATTCTCCCCAAAACCGTTCAGACAACCATCGGTGAGAATCCTAACTTGAGACAGGTACATAAAAAAGTTGAGTTTAACCTCCCATTTTGACAAAATCGCTTGTTCCATATAGATAGAAAATTAAAAGGGATTTATTGTCTAAGTGGGATTCCACTTGTTTGAAAATAAACAATTTATTTCACTCAGTTTTTTGTGGTAATTATATATATATACACCAAGCAAGTCTAGGTGTTGTCCCTAAAATCTGACTTTTTGGCTTAAAAACTTATTAAATAAAATTGATAAATCAATTGGTATGGTATTCTTGTAGACTACTTACAATTCCTTTATGCATGGGTTAAACAAAACTTAAATGATAGGTTTTTTTTTGCCCCAGTATCAAAATTATGTACTAATTTACTTTGGCCATATAATATACTTTTCCTGTTCTTTTCATGAAATTGCTATAATATAAGCATTTAGGATTACCGGTATGTGATTTCTTTGTCAATAGATTAAGAATTTAAGGAGCCTGTAGTTCAGTGGTTGTCATTGGTTCATGTCTGTCATATTTGTTTTTCGTAAATTGTTTTGTTATAAATTAGGCCGTTAGTTTTCTCAATTGAATTGTTTCATATTTTTCATGTCAGGGTCTCTTATAGCCGACTATATGGTATGGGTTTTTCTCATTGTTGAAGGCCGTACGGTTGCCTATAATTGCTTACATCCACTTCATTTGAACTTTGGTGGATAGTTGTCTCATTGGCAATCATACCACATCTCCTTATTTTTATATTAAGTATTTTAAGCTTGCTTTCTATAACTTCAATTATTAATAAAAACAGATATGGGGTGTGTCAATGAGACAGCAGCCCAAAGACACAAAAAACTAAATGACATAAAGAGGTCAACATAATGTCTTCAACAATACAAAGGTTTCTATATGATATATGTCAAGCTAAAAAATTCAGGGGGTACTCTCGTCTAATCTGAGGTCGTATGATGATTAACTATAAGGTGTGTAAACATGCACAAGTTGATAAAAATCACCCAGTCTAAAAAATTGTGAATAATTATACAATATGTTTGATTCACATCATTTCTATTACCAGGAAAACTACTACACGTTGATTTTTGAAATCATTTACATGTTTCACTAGGTCCCTGCATCCTTGAACTGAGGAGGTCATTGTGCCCAATTGACATTTTTTAAGCATCTCTGTATCTTTTTATTTGATTTGAATACTTATTGCTCAATACTAAATCTACCAAAAGAAATGTAACTTTGATGTTCATTGTTCAGGGTTAAAAGGGGTAAGGCTGAGTGCTTTGCATGTTAAACTTAAAATGGAATATTGCATTATATAAATAAAGAAACATATTTAGTCATAATAATGAATTGAGTTGTTCCCCTTTGTCCGTAAAATTGAAGGTAGAACAGATCAACAATGCACTATTTTTTGGCAACATTGGAAAAATGGTTTTCTTGATTAGTATGATAATACACAAACACACACATTATTTTGAAAATTGTGTTTCTGAGAATAAAAATAAATTGCTTGGCATGGTCATGGACATGAACCACTGCATTATGTTGTGGATTCTCATAAAACCCATGTAGAGATGAGGTTAAATTATAGGTAACCAGCCAATGGTCATATGTATATGATTGACCCTTATTGCAATGTTTTCCTCCAAGACTAGTACAGCCTAATGTCCTAGTCAGAAACCTCCTGATTGGTTTTCTTGTTATATGTCTATGTTAATTGTTTTTATTTTTAGGGTGTCTCTATTAATGAGAGAGCAACTCAACTAAACAACAAACAGCCAAAAGACATACCGGTACAGTCTTCAAAAATATACATAACGGTATATAATATATACTATATATCTATACTATATGACAAGCTCTTAATCTTAGAGTCTATAAAAGTTGATATAGATCTGCCAATAACACAGTCATTAAATTCTCTAAATAACAACAAAACCATAACATGACATTAGAGAACCACTAATGAGGCTTCTGAGATGAATCATGGCAGGATTAAACTGCTTTTAAAGATAAAAAAAAATACTCAGTTCTGCATGCATAGTACATGCCAGTGTATCAGTAAATCTGGATGTTTTAATGTTAAAGGAATAAAAATCGATCTCTACATGTTTTCAACAATTTCAAATGCAAAGAAATCGAAATTATTGTTTTTGATTTGATATATTATACTTTTTTAGATGCACAAACTGGCTACCACTTAATGCATCTCCAATAGCAAGGTACCTATTGTTTCCCCTTTCAGATTTTAAGTTTTTAATGTCCACCATAAATTAAAGCCAAGGGATATGGAATGGATGTAAATGAGATTACAAGCATGCAGTAATATGAAGTAACCATAAAAAAAGAACAGCACTTTAATTACTGTTCTTCATCTTGATGATTGTTGAAAGTTCCTCATCTATGACCTGTAGTGCTAAAACCTTGCAGCATAATCATGAAGGACACCAAGTCCCCAGCTAGTCCCCAAGGACATCTTCCGTAGTACTCAATTAATCATTATACTTTTGAATAAACAAAGAGTAATTAAATAAATCATATTAAACAACTGGTCTAGCCTTTCTACAAATACTGTAATACGTATGTTTAGATTGTAACCATATCTCTCTGATTTTTTTGTGTTTTTGGATTGCTTTTGATATTGGATGTTATGCGAACAAAAATCAATGCCCCCATATTAAAACTGGGAATAAAGGTTTGCTTAAATAATGTTACCATGTCACAATCTCTGACAAAGTTGGGACTGTCATGAATTATTTTTTAATAACGTACACTATTAAATCATAGAAGTTTTCTTGCAGGCCTGCCTCAAGAAGCTTCTCAATGTACCCCTGTACAAAGTTTACATTTGGTTTATCATAGCCAAAGGTTTTTGTATGGTAATCTATATACTTTCTGGCTACTTCAATCTGTAAAGAAAAATAAAGAACTTATGCAAAATGTAATCTATAATCTATATATGTATTCAACCTCTGATAATTAAGAGGACATCAAGACAAATTTTTAAAAGCTATCCTGCCACTTTTACTGGTATACCGCTTATACAAGACCATTTGGTACAGTCTGTTTACTGATTTTTCACCCCATCCTACTGACCTATTGATCAGGGATGCCTACTATTACAATGTTCATGACCATTATTCTGAATCACATGTTTACTGATCTTTAACCTCAGCTTTCTGAACTGTTAATCTGTTATGATTTTCAATGTTTAATGACCATTCTGAACCATTCTTTTCCTTGATATACTGATCTATTCCATCATCATGTTTATCCCTGTGACACATTCTAGACTGTGAATCCACTATGACCTACTCAGTTGTCCATTGGTAATATCTATCCCAGTGACTGACCTACTGACCTTTTATCTGTCATGTCTATCTGTGTGACTGACCTACTGACCTGTTCATCTGTCTTGTCTATCCGTGTGACTGACCTACTTACCTGTTCATCTGTCTAGTCTATCTGTGTGACTGACCTACTGACCTTTTATCTGTCATGTCTATCTGTGTGACTGACCTACTGACCTTTTATCTGCCATGTCTATCCGTGTGACTGACCTACTTACCTGTTCATCTGTCTTGTCTATCCGTGTGACTGACCTACTGACCTGTTCATAGGTCATGTCTATTTTTGTGACTGACCTACTGACCTGTTCATCAGTCATGTCTACTCCTGTGATTGATCTACTTACCTGTTCATCAGTCATGTCTACATGTATCCCTGTGACTGATCTACTGACCTGTTCATCCGTCATGTCTATCCCTGTGACTGACCTACTGACCTGATCATGCATTATGTCTATCCCTATGACTGACCTACTGACCTGTACATTGGTCATGTCTATTCTTGTGACTGACCTACTGACCTGTTCATCAGTTATATCTTATCCCTGTGACTGACCTACTGACATGTTCATCGTTCAAGTTTATCCCTGTGACTGACCTACTGACCTGTTCATCAGTCATGCCTATTCATGTGACTGACCTACTCACCTGTTCATCAGTCATGCCTATTCATGTGACTGACCTACTGACCTGTTCATCAGTCATGTCTATCCCTGTAACCTGTCCATTCTGTCCAACTAGTTTACTGATAGCAAAGCAATCTCTTCCACTACCACTTCCAAGGTCCAGAACTTTAATTCCTTCTAATTTATCAGGAATTACTAATCCACATCCATAATATCTAAAAAAATATTTATCAGGGATTACTAATCCATATCCATAATAAATATAGTGTATATTATTAATTCATTGCTTGTGAAAAATCTGAAGAATGTTCACCTCACTGCACTATGTTGTGTGTCCTAATGAAGAGGCCTGAAATATAGCTATGAAACCAGTGACAATAGGGTTTTGATTGCACTTTGATCAATATTTACCCCCAAAAACAGATATGTCTGTCTATTTGTTGAATGTGGAGTAAAATGCAATAATATAAAATTTCAAATGATTCTTGGAAAAATAAGGTTACAGTATCTTTTATAAATTACAAGGGAACAAAATCCTGAATATCTTTACCAATAACATTGTTTTTAACTGGTTTGTCCATACATCTGGCACATTGTTTCTGATTTGTATCATTTGAGTACTGTAAATTCAGAAATTATTGCGTGCATTTATTATTGCGATTTTGTCATTTTAGACTAAACTGCGATTTTAATTTTTGCTGTTTTGAGAAAAATCCTGTTTAATTCATATAAAAAACTTCAAAATGCGAGTTTAAATTATTGCGATTATAACCCTGTCGCATTTTTCGCAATAATAAAAACATCGCAATAATTTCTGAATTTACAGTACCATCTTTTTATCCCCTTTTTAACATATTGGTAGTTCAGAATTTTTTTAACTGTTAGTTATAACTTACTTTGATGCTACTTCTTCATGAACTTGACTAATTGCTTCACGTACATTTTTGTTAACACGTCTGCCTGGTGCTACACATGCTTGGGTTTGTAAATCTGACACGTTTTTTAATTTCTTTCCATAATATTCCTTCACACTGTCTATAATTTGTGAATCTCCATTGGTAGTGGTCATTTCCTTAATCTGTTGTACCTTTGGCAATACTGAAACGTGTAAATTTTCTTTGGATTAAATAAGCTTTAAATTAAGAGAATACTTTATTCTTTTTGATTCCTACATTGTATATGAATACCTTTTGAGTTTATGAATACTCAAATGAATATACAGTTGTCATACATATATCTTTTGACACAAAACAAATGAAATATAATAGAGTTATTTGAAACTCCTGCTTTCTCAAGCCTATCTACATGTAACTTGACAAAAAATACCAAACTTTTGACATATATAATTTAGAGTGACAGCTGACTGATCTAGTTACAGCAGTCATAATGAGATTTCTTCTTATATATGCCAGGAAACAGATGCATAGATTTCATTCTCTAACAGTTCAAATAACCCAGAATTATGATCTTACCGATCATTTACCTGTAGTAAACACTTATTCCACATTTACTCAATACACAACTATTGTCCTAATAAGTATGTTAGATGTCAGTGACATGATAGATCTATTGCAAAATGTTGAAAACAAACATAAATTTGATGAGAAAAAATATAGAATTATGGTACTTGGGTTCAAATAAGACAAAATGCAATGTTGCAGTAATTAAATGGACATAATTTTGGTATTGGCAGAGACATATTCATGTCTCTGGTATTGGTTTGTCACCTAATATTTTTCAATTGAAGTTGGTACCAACAGCCATTTATAATTCCCATATAGAACACTCACATTGTAGCTTACAAATGTTACTGAAAAAATATGAACTTCAACTAACGATGAAAAACATGCATGCAAGTCATTCATGTCATTGAACAATACACCTTATCGCTATTTGTCCGCCATTACTGGACATCACACAAGTTCCCGTAAAATTTTGACGTCATAATAGAAAATATCTGACGCCACAATGGAAAAGTGATTGTTGTCTGACGTCAAAAGTTCGAGCGGGACTGATTCTCGGGTCAAGCGGGATTATCGATAAGGTGTATAGTTTTATAGCATATTTAGTTGGTTTGGTTGCTTTGAAATGATTAATTGTTTCACGTAAAATAATTTACGACAATGCCAAACATTTTATTTACTGTCGTTCTGTGTGGATACAAAACTAAATACCTGACCTTTTGTAAAACAGTAAAATGTTTTAAATAAAAACTACACTACACTGATGTTCTGAATAATGACCTCTGACATTTGGTCATCGCTAAGAATGTTGCCTCTCGGATCGTATTCAAGATATGACTAAATTAACAAATTAAGGTTTGTTACAACAACGCACCACTACGTAACTAATCAACACTACTTTATTTTAAGAGGGTTACGCAGTTAGCTATATAACTAATCTTCCCTGAGAAAAGCATAAACAAAAGTGTGTTGAAAAACAAAATTGCAAACATATACACGGCACACATTAGGAAATTAGTTAAGTATAATGATAATGTTCATTACAACTGCATAAAATGTTATGAAAAAAATAAACATGGTGAAATAATTAATATTTAATATATTTGCTTGGATGATACATTCTGGTATCGGTATTGCTATGTTTTGTGAAAGCTTTCTGAAATAAGAGTAATCTTGTCGAAAGTGTTCGCCTTTGTTGAATTGGTTGTAATTTCAACTTTTCTAAGATTATTTTTGTTTATATCCACAAAGAACTACAGTGAATAAAAGTTTTATAATTGTCCTAAATCAGTTTAAGGTGAAAAGATTTATGACATTAAACCCTGCAATAACGTATTCTGGCATGGCAGTTTTTCTCCATTGCATCAGTTACGACTCTTCCGTCCTTCATAATTTATGACCACTATCCTTTCAGTTAGTCCCTCATTCTTTAACAAAATCTAGAGTAAACACTGAGAGTCACCCATATTTAAAGTTGACAGTTTATTCCTCTTGAATTACTTTCAGAAATGATATGAAATAGGCAATATGACATCTTGTTCGGTAATTTAAGATATTTCCAAATGTGTCAATATCAGAAGGTCACTAAATTGGAAATTTACTTATCTGCATTTTTTTTTTGGTACAATTGTTCAATATAAAAATAAGATGTGATTTGATTACAAAGACGTAGACGCATATATATATATATATATATATATATGTCACCTTACGGCCTTAAAAAGTGAGTAAAACCCATATCGTATAGCAAGCTTTAAAATGCCGAAAATGACAAATGTTAAACAATTCAAACGAGAAACTAACGGCCTGATCTATGTACAAAACAATAATCGAAAAAGAAAAACAACTATTATATACAGCAACAAACGACAAACACTGAATAACAGGCTCCTAACATGGGACAGACACATTCTACAAAATGTGGCGGGGTAAAACATGTTTGTGGGCGCCCAACTCTCCCCCTAACCTGGAACAGTGGTACAACAGCACAACACAGAAACAAACTGTACAAAACAATAAACAAAAAAACAAATATGATATACAGCAAAAATGTGCTGGGACTCTCTCGCCGATAAATCTACCAGATCTACGTTGAACCATTTTATATGTTTCTGCTGATATGGTTCCACAGGAGAACAATAACAATACAAACACAGCTTTTTTTTCGAATGAACAATTAAATGAATGGAACACAATACCACCAGACATAGTTAATAGATATAGACGATTTTTCTATTTCCGTTTTTATGAATGAACTTCCCCGGTTGACCTTGGTTCATTATGGGGAAACACGTCAAACTCATGCCTTCTGATGGTAAATATTTTATATTGGATGCACAAAAATCATTAGCCAGGAACGACCGCGCGAGACCCTAATTAGTAGTCATAGTAGTTGTAAGTGCTGTTTTCCTTCACCTGCTCTCTAATGGAAACAATTACATTATCGAGTTTCACTTTTTCTTGTAAAACTGCTTTCTGAGACTCTGATGGATTTAGTCTAGTTGTTTATTGGAATAAAAGTAAAGGAAGGAAAGTGTTCACATATTCTGTAGTGACATGGATATGATCTTGTTTAGTCTTACAAGTTCTGAAGTATTCAAACCGAAGGATCCTCCGTCAATTTAATGACAGAAATTTTCATTCTTTCAGTCGTTATTAACGTTATTAGGAAAAGCTTGCATAATAAAATCAACAAAATAAATGATGTATATATAATTTTCCAGTGGAAAAATTGCAACTTATAATCATCATGAAAAGCGCTCTAAATATTCCAATGACAGAAAACAAACGGTTTTCACAAAAAAGGTTCTTTATTATAATATAAAATTGTCTCATAAAATGTACAGCGTCTAATAGTTGACCGTAAACTTTGAAATGATTTATGAATTGCAAAATTTTACCTAACCCTAGTCCGGCGATTTTTTAGTCCTAAAAACTGTTTTCAGACGTCAGAGCAATCTCGGACTAACCTAACCCAAAATAATATTTAAATTTCTTGATTACTTATCTGCTTGACACGTAAACTGTAACATGATAACAATATATTATCATGTTATGCTACAGTGCAAATGCTGGCAGATAAGCTAAAGATAAATTTGGCATGCATTTGTTAAAAATTGGGGCAAGAAAAAGTTTAGAATACTATAGTATATATGTTAAAATATGCCTGAGAGAAAATTTTCTAACATTTTTGGACCACCAAAAATCGTCGGGCTTCGACTCTAGTAAACTTACCACATTTTATAGATTAAAACCCAGCTTTCGACAACAAGCCTATTTAACTTACCGTAATAAGTATTTTGGATTTAATACAGTAATACTTCGTGTGTAACCAAATTTAGTTTAAGTGCCCACCAACTTCGTATAGAAACTGGGCGCTATGAAAAAAAAGGAAAACGAATGAACAGTTTGTGCCCCTGAAAAGAGAAGATAGATTATGCACTCATTGTACATAATCTAAAACTGAGGATGGATCTCCTTTTCTGCTTGAATGTGACTGTCCACTCTATGCCAATGGACGACAAAAAAAATGACTACTGAAATTGGTCAGTTACGGTCGAAACCATTTTAACAACTGGGAAAATTTTTATTGGGTCTTCAATAATGAAGACATTAGAAGATTCGATTATTTTTTTCTTAGAATTGCCACTCTACATAAATTCTAGAAATCAGCTTTTTGAAAATATCCAACTCTTAGTAGTTATTTCCATAGAACATATTGTATTTGGAACAGAAGAAATAAGTTTTGAACAAAACACAATCCTTTTCAGAAATATACAGGTTAACTCCTAACTATCCTACTGCCTGTCGATACATTTATTTTTGGCAATTGCACTAGTCATGTCTTCTTTGACTGTCCATGACGTTAAAATACTAAATCCCCGGGATGTGTTTTAGTTGATTTTAGTATCTGGTGCATGATTTTTTATTATTAAATGTTTTTGGCTTTTAACTACTGTCAGTAACTGCGAGTACTCTCAAATCGTACTTTCTTGTTTATTTGACCTGTTGAGACTAATTGTAATGCTTTTTTGTTATTTAATGTTATTCAGGGTTATATCTGGTCTATATACCAGCTTTGATAAGTGTTTGATAATACTATAAATTTTTACTTCGTACTATGAACATCAAAATTATTTATTTTGTAAAAATATTTCCTTTCTCTATTTGAACTGTACACGTATACCTAACAACAAAACTATTTTCATTTACCTGTGTTTAAAGTAATTGCAAATGGCTGATATTTTTGTCAAGCATATTGTTTTCTTAAATTGTTTAACATTTCACAGCGATATAACATGTTACTTTTATTATTCTTCCTTTAGTTTATTTATTTTGTATTTACAATGTATCATAGATCAAATTTATTTGTTCAGTGTATGTTCACTGGTGTTAATATTTCTTTTGATTGAGTTAAGCCATTTCAATTGATATTTTATAGTGTGTCTTTCTATGTTGTGATGTTACACTATTGTTTCAAATAAGGGTGAAGGTTTGTTACCATTAAAACGTTTAAACCCGCTGCAATTGTTTGCACCTGTCCTAAGTCAGGAATCTGATGTTCAGTAGTTTTTTCGTTTGTTGATGTGGTTCATAAGTGTTTCTCGTTTCTCGTTTTTTATATAGATTAGACCGTTGGTTTCCCCGTTTGAATGGTTATACACTAGTAATTTTTGGGGCCCTTTATAGCTTGCTGTTCGGTGTGAGCCAAGGCTCCGTGTTGAAGACCGTACTTTGACCTATAATGGTTTACTTTTATAAATTTTGACTTGGATGGAGAGTTGTCTCATTGGCACTCATACAACATCTTCTTATATCTATAGTTGTATACGCCATACAAAACGACCTTTTGATTAATATTGCTGTATCTTAAAATGTACTCGTATCCAACTGTCATTGTTTAAATATAATTTATTATGGAAAGCCTCAGCTGTCATATATTAGAGATTTACAAAACGTTATGCTGAAGCTTAAAATGTAAAGTTAAGACAGCGTGATGTTGAATTGAGTCATCAAAAAGCTAACTCTAAATTACAATATGCTAAGTTGAATCTGCGCAATGTTGACTTGCAATGACAAGTGCTTTAGTCGTGATAGTATAATGATAAGTCACGATGTTGTGATGATATGCCAAACACACGTAACGTTGGGTTTAAAGTACTTGATGTGAAGTTGACGTTGCATGATGTTAGCTTGCAGATGGATACTGCTCAGTCATCCATATCGACAGCTATGATAACAAATAAAATGAATAGCTAAAATGTATGGTGCTGACTTGATATTAATTAATGTTGAGCTGAGATAGTACGATGTTATATCATTGTGATATTACGATTGGTCTATCATGCAATCTGTTGATTTAAAACACCATGATGCACAGTTGAAAGTACATGATGTTAAGTTAAGATAACACGATGCTACACCACTGTATTGAAACGAAAGGCTTACCATACAATTTGTTGACTTAAACCAACACGATGCAACGTGTTAAGCTTAGATGCTCACTTGAAACTACAGGACGTACAGTTGAAATTTTGTAATGTTAAGCTACGATAGCACGATGTTATATCATTATAATGTCACAATAGGCTTATTATACAATTTGCTCATTTAAAACTACACAACGTACAGTTGAAAGTACGTGATGTTAAGTTAAGATAGCACGTTGTTATATCATTAGAATGTCACTATAGG